TATTGATGTAATATACAGTAAAATTGCTCAAGGAAAACTTTTGTTAAAACACTAAAGATGGTTTCCTATGTGGATTTTTGAGTTATGGGCGATTATTGGCAAAAAGAGCGGTTCTTTTTAATTTTTCGGATTGTGTTACACCTGATCTTCAACTGTGATTGGCTCGTGGTCACGTTTTGCAGAATTTTTCGGGGTGTTGTTGGGGTAGTTATTTTTCGCCAATATGCACAAATCAGATGATCTGCACTAATTAAACAATCGAATTTTTAAAGTAATAAAAACCTACGTTAGGGTTGGGGTTGTGACTGAAATTATGGCTTATCTTATACTAAAATTTTATGGAGAATTTTTTTTGTTAGTGCGTAGAGGTGGTTTCATTAGAGAGTCGATTGGTAGAAAAGATTTGATTGGTGCATCTGCGACAATCTTTCATGGTCCCACTGGGACAAAAATACCCAGACAAGAAAATCATACGATCATTTAACACGTCGGATAAAAAGAAAACAATCAAAATATAAAATTACCTCTTTTATAAGTGCTTCATTATAAGCTGCTGATCCGTGGAGTAATTTAAGAGCAATTTTTTTCCAAGTGCTTTGTCTTTTGTCCAACCATCTTGCATAATATACAGTTGCGAATCCACCCTAAAAATTCTTCATATGAGATATACTTTAGAGGATATTCATCTTCTTCCAACAATTTTTTCATACAATTATCAAGATTAGAGCTTTTTTTCAACTTGTGTGTATCTATATAATATTGTTAATTGGTAAGTTTAAACTCTCAAAAGTAAATTAATAATAAAATTTATTTTAATTACCCAACATATTTTTTTCTCTAATTATATTTTTTCCCTAATTATTATCAGAAAATGTATAATGTAAAAGTTATAATTTTGTAAAGATATATGTATAGAATTTAAATAAAAACCATCTATTTACATTTGATACCACTGGCTGGCCTCCTGCAAGTCTCTTTGTACTCCTATTTCATTTCTATAACAATATCCAATTGCAGACATTCCATTAGTATTGCCCATTTCTGCAGCTTTTTTAAAATAAATGAATGCCTTATGTTCATCTTTTTCAACTCCAATCCTATCAATATAACAATATCTAACCATATATGTTCCACTGCCATCCCCCATCTCTACAGATTTTTGATAATAAATGAATGCCTTATGTTTATCTTTTTTAACACCAATTCCATCTTTATAACAGTTGCCAAGTGCAAAGATTCTACTAATATTCCCATATTTGCAGATCTTTGATAATAGGTAAATGCCTTATATCATCCTTTTCAACTCTGATTCCATTTTGATAACAATATCCAACATTAGATATTCCAATAGCATTACCCATCTCTGCAGATCTTTGATAATAAATGAATGCCTTATGTTCATCCTTTTCAACACCAATTCCATTTCTATAACAATAGCAAACTTTACATTTTCCAATAGTACTATCCAGCTTTGCAGATTTTTGATAAAAAATGAATTTCTTAATTGACAATTCACGAAAGAAGGAGAATCTTTTATTAATAAAAAAGTGGGGTGGATTTTTATAAGTATTATTACAGAAATTGAAATCAGCATTCCTGATGTATACAACTTTTTTCTATCAAGTAAAAGTCTCTTGAGGCTTTAATAAAAGTTGTAGCGACGATTTTTCTGATTCTAATGGTAGTTAAATTATCAAAATCGGCTTGGTAGATCATAAGATATAGTTATTTTTGTCTTCGCAACTATATCACATAATCAACCAAGCCGATTTTGATAATTTAACTACCATTAGAATCAGCAAAATCATCTCTACAACTTTTATTAAAGCCTCAAGAGACTTTTACTTGATAAAAAAAAAGTTGTATACACCAGGAATGCTGATTTTTAATTTCTTTAATAATACTTATAAAATCAACCCACTTTTTACTAATTAAATCTTATAAAATATTCTTCTTTATTTGTGGATTGTCAGTTAAGTTAATTTGTTAATGTTCCAATATCACTACCCCATCTCTGCCAATTTTTGATAAAAAATGAATTTCTTACATTGGTCTGTTTCAATTTGACATTGATAATTGGATCCAAGGTTATAAACGCCTAGTTGATTTTTTATTTTTCCACATTGTATTTTTTAAAGCATAATAAACAAACAAATCTGAATTAACCAGTGTACCACAATGTTAAAATTTTGTGTCACTATCAAGTGGCATGACATAGATTATGAGTAACTTCAAGCAAATGTTAACTCTCAGATTCAAAATATTAATTTCGAAGTACAGTTAAACCCCTCTATAGTCACACCTTTGGGGTACAAATTACTGTGATTATAAAGAGGTGTGATTAATATAGAGGTATTTTCTATATAGTGATAAATAATTAGTAAAAATAAATTTGTAATTACAGTATATAGAAAATACCTTTATATTAATCACACCACTTTATAATCACAGTAATTTGTATCCCAAAGGTGTAACTATAGAAGGGTTTGACTGTATTCTATTTTTAAAATCTTTGGTTTTTATGTAGCAGTATCAAAAAAACATTGATTTCATCATAATCTTATTTACATAACTAGATTTACTGGTTAGTAACACAATTGTATATTTAATTAAAATCTATGTATTACAAAAATGATATGAAAAATTCCTTTTCTGAAATTTTGGCTGCATGAAAACATTACAAGCTACAAAAATTCTTGATACAATCTTGAACTAAACCTTAATAAATACCAATTCTGAAATATAATCAAACCTCTCTATAGTCACCTCCTCTATAGTTATAAAATTAATATAATTACAAATTTATTTTTACTAATTATTTATCACTATATAGAAAATACCTCTATATTAATTATGCCTCTTTATAATCACAGTAATTTGTATCCCAAAGGTGTGATTATAGAGGGGTTTGACTATAATATAAATTAATTTATACAATAAAAATTAATTATATATAACATATATATAAATTTAACTTATATGCAATAAGAACATGCTTCAAGAAGCATTTTTGGAGTTCAACTCATCATATATGATAAATATGTCATTTTTGATGAGTTTAACTTCAGGTGTTTCAGTAGTTTGTAGTGAGGTGAAGATGCAGGTAATGGTATCAAATAAATTTCTCTTGCCAATTGGATTAACTTATTTTTAAGCTATAAAAGAGTATGCTATATTAAATAGAACCATTTGTTTATAAAATATAAAATATATAAAACTTCAAAACCAGTTATATTTATAATAAAACATATATGCAGTCTAAGCAGGCCTTTAACAAAATCAATAAAGAGAAAATATATTTCTGAAATCATCTTCGGCATTACTAATGTCATCATTTCATTGAAATAATAAAAGTTGGTTTCTGAATAAAATATCATAGAGTATACCACTCAGTGGTATTTTATAATTTGTAACAGTTAACATTTTAATTAGAATTTTTTTTAGAAAACTATAAATTATATATAATTTGTCTAAATTCTGATAGTAAAAATTTATTTCAAATATTTTCTCAAATGCAGTATATTATAAAATTATTCAACATATCTTTAAATTTGATTTTGATCACAATATAGTTCTTTGATTTTTTTAAATCATCATATACTATTTCAGTATTACCTGCTTTTAATGCTAATATTTCAATATAGTAATATTAAATCTAATTTAGTTGTACTTTTTTCAAATAAAGTATATTCAGAATGAATTTTTCTTCTTTTCCTAGCATTGGTTGATTCTGATATTTTCTCAATTCTAATATATTTAATAAGTTGTTATAAAAGAATTTTTGCAAGTTAAAAAAAATATATATAGATATATATCTATAAATTTTAAAATTACTATTAAAATTTTAAGCAAATCAGTCATTAAAGAGATTATAATTCTTGCAATATAATCTTTTTCAAAGATAGACATAGCTAAATGGTTAATCTCACATCTAAAGTTTTTATGACTAAATGAAAAACATGTTACAGACAATTTTAAGCATTATTCTCAAAGTAAAATAAATGCATAATATAAATCTTAAATCTTATAACAAATCTATGATTAAAGAAGCCAAAACAGCATCTTCAAATTCTGTAACTTGTGCTAATCTATATTTTAACACTTCTAAGTTTTTTAAACTTTTCTATAACATAATTGATATTAATTAATGTTATTAGATTATTTATATCTTATATTAATATATAAAGTAATTTCTTATTAAAACTATTTAACTATCATTTAAAATGCAAAAGTCATTGCTGTCTATTGAATTTTTTAATATTTTTTTTAAATGTATATATTAGTACAACTTTATCTTTTGTCTTTAATATTTGGGTCCAAACTCCAAGTATTCAATTGGTTAAGTCAATTATTCTTGACTTGATTAATTTGTTAAATCATAAAGCATTTATATGCTAACTTTTTTATTTTTTTTCAACTTATTATATAGTGGCTCTCAATATAATGAAGACCATAGTTTTAGTCCTTTGCTCCATTATATCAAAAGCTCTATAGTATAAAATATCATGATAAATAAGATATTATAGTAAATTATAATTTAGTTCTATCATAATTTTCTGTATTAAGTAATATCCATTATATTGATGATTTATTATATCAATAGTCTATTATATCGAAAGCTACTGCATATATTGCTTTATGAATCTTTAGCTAGAACAATCAAATCATAAAGAATATAATTAATTATGTTCTGTAGCTTGATTTTCTTAGCAAAGATCTTATATATTAATAGATATTTACTGAATTCTAATATTATACAAAGTTAACTGCTATATAACTTCCTGATAAATTGTTTTTAAATTTTTGTCTACATTTAGTAAATTTCTTGTCAGTAAGATAATATAACAAAGTTACTCAAAAAGTATATATACATATTCAATAAACTCAGATCTAACCTACTGTAGTATTAATCATCAAATCATTCATAGTTTTATTAGTATTAATTTTGTTTAAATAGTAATTAATAACAATATATATAAGTATAGTTAATTATGCATTTACTAACTAATCAGTGCTATTACATAATTATCTTCATTTTCTGATTCAAAATTATCAGTTTCAGCAAAAAATTCTATTTTTTAAACTATCCAGTAGCCAAATATGCCTGCTAGAATATATTTTTTTATGTTTTTTTATAATTACTTAAAATTTTATTAAGAATAAGTACACCTATTTCTAAGCTAAAATAAAAATTTGAGATATTTTTAATTAATTAACTGTAAAATTTTTAGTTTAATTTTAAAATTAATAAAAATATTTAATTTGAAATTTGGCTAATTTTAAATTTTTATTATAAAATTTCTAAAAAAAAATTTAAAAAATTTTAATTTTTATATATTTCTGAAGAGAAAAAAAATTTTTACTAATAAACTAAGTTGAAATTTTATTTATAAAATTATAAATTTATTATTTAAAATTATTCTTTAAAACATTCTACAATTTGTATCAAAATTATAGTATACTTATACTTAGAATTTTAAAAAGTTTATTAATAAGTAAAGATAAAAAAATTTAGATTTTTTTTAAAAAAAGTGAATTTTAAAATTTTTTACTATATAGACAACTTTATTTTTTTTCTTGTTATTTAAAAATAAATATTACTATATTATAATTCTTATTTTTAAATATTATTATATAATTTTTTTAAATATATTAAATTTTAAAAAAATAGATCAGATATAACAATTTTAATATTTTAGCAGCCAAATATGTCTACTAACTACTGACAGTTTAAAGGATAATAATCAAAATATACAGAAAATAATATAATATTAATATAATGTTTAGATATTCTAATAATAAACCTTTTACTTAATATTATTATTTACTTTAACAGAATATTTAACTTCTTCAGATTCATCATTATAACAAAATTTTAACTTATTTTTAAACTCTCAAAATCCACCTTTGTTTGACGAGATGTTTTTATAGTTTTATCTTCTAAATCTGTTGTTATAATTTTATCCTCTATAGCTATTTGATTCTCAATAACTGTTGTTATAGTTTTATCCTTCATACTTGCTGCTATAGTTTTAACTTCTCTATCATTTTTTGTTAATAATTCTAATGTTTGAAAATCACTGAACTTCGCTAATAGTGCTCAACTATTCTTGTCGATGGATCTTTTAAGATTTTTCTAAAAACAAAAGGTTAATAGTAATAAATTTAATATATTAATACTGAAAAAACAGTAGTTAGCTCACCTTCTTATATTCACTGTCTAATTCATCAAAAAACTTATCAACTTCTTTCTTTTAAATATATCTTCGATGTTTTTAGAAATTTTACTTAATTGCCTTTTAACCTCAGACTGTATAATAGAAGAATCTATGAATTTTTGGGCTATTCAAATAATTGTATTTTGGATATTTTATTTACTGTCAGATGTAAAAACCAATTAGGTTTTCAGAAAGTTAAGACAATATAGGACATTAAAATTTGCATTTTCAGAATTTATATAAACTTTAATTTAGAAGTCAAAATTCATGTCTAAAAAGAGGATTATTATTAATAATCTGTTTTTAAATAATAATAGAAGATATTTGATGCACAAATATAGTATAATATTCTGGATTAAAGGCTCAGGTTGAAACACTACAAGCCAACACATAACAAGTCATAGTGTTATATACAAAAATACTCTAAACTATACATCGACCAACAAGCACAATCATATAGGAATAGGATACTATTAACACATCTTTTTGTGAATAAAATGTAAAAAAATACCTAACTCATATAGACTACAGTATCTTGGAAATAGCCATAAATTTGATTTTAACTGTTAATATCGATATGTTGAACATATCTAGTGCAGGATTTTTAGATGATGTGCTAATTGACTATTATAGTCAGATATATATACATATAGGCTAGATGCTATAAATCTTATAATATTGCTATATTAAGAGAAAAATGATTTTATTCTAAATTATTTATGTAAGCCTTTTTCCCAGCACCTAACCCTTACATCACATGATATTTTTATCTATATCAATCTATTTTAGATACTAACTAATTGATTAATTGACTAATTGATTAATTGTAACTAATCGATTAATTAGTTATAGCTAATCGATTAATCGATCAATTGATTAGTTATAACTTATGAATTAATCAATTATTATACTTTGCATAATGTGTTATATATTAGACAGCTTTTTAAACACAATTACAGTAATTTTTGTAAGTTATATAATTTTGCAATAAGTTCTGTGAAGTTAAAACTCAGATCATATGTAAAGTGGTGCTTTGTATACAATATAATAAAAATTACATGAAATTTAATTTACTAAATTTATATAAAAATACATGTATTGTAAGATTGTAACAACCCTCATTCAATTTTGCAAAGCACAATGATCGACTAATTGAGTAGTGCAAATTAATGATTAATTATAATTGTCAATTAAGAAAAGAATTAATCAACTAATCAATTTAAAAATTTTTGCCAATTTTTTGTAACACTAAAATAAATCATTCCATTTACTTATAGTCATAGCACAGTAATGTATTAATGTAAATATTTTGAATTTTATTTTTTACATACAGAGGGGCAAGTCCTATGTAAAGTTCATAATCCTAACCCTCTAACATGAAGTATAGCTCTAACCCTAACCTTAACTATTTTGTAGATAGAATAACCTAATATATTATTATATGTACATGTACGTATATACGTACATATATCATATACATGTCTTTTTAACTATACTACGTACAGTTAGACCTCCCTAAATGCACCCTCCCTAAATGCAGCACCCCCTAAATGCATAATATAAGCCCGGGCCCATGGTGGGACTTATAGATAAATGCACGTTCTTTATTCTGTAAGTGCACGCTAATTGTCTGGCCCACTTATAAA